ATAGCAGTGATATCCACCAGTAATTACTACAGTCTGTTTTATCACCCTTCTTGTGCACTGGTACAATAATAGACTCCTTCCACTCATCAGGCAATTTTTCATTATGCCAAATAGAAGTAATTAGATTGAGGATCTTAGAACGTAATATTTCGCCTCCTGCTTGAATAAGTTCTGCCGGAATTTGATCACTACCTGGCAATTTATACCTTTTCAATTTTGCAATAGCACTTCCAACCTCGAAATGGCTAGGATCAGGTATTAACGGCTCAGCTGTATCGATTTCTGTCTGCCTAACATCACTGACCCTGTGTACATTCAATAACTGAGAGAAGTAGTTCCTCCACATATTCCAGATGTTGTGGGAGTCTGCAAGCAGATCACCATTCTCATTCTTCACTAAGTTACTGCTAGGCTGGTAACCCCTCTTATAGTCATTTATTCCTCTATACAGGTCTCTAATATTCTTGTTCTTACTGTTCATTGCACGCTCATCAATTTTGTCTTTCAGATGTTCCCTCTTTTTATTCCTGAAATGCCTGCTGGTTTCACGTCTTATATATTGTTCAGATTATCCCTATTTAACTCACTTGGATCCTGTAACCATTGCAATTTGGCCTGCTTTCTTTGATCTAATAATTTTGAGCATCTTTCATCGAACCATGGCTTATGCTTCTTCGGTTCATAATAACCTAGACTCTCTTTGGCAAAAATTTTTATATTCTCTCTAATAGTCTCTCAAGTTTTATCAACATCCACCTCAGTGTCCAAGTTTCCCAAAGCCGTAAACCTATTTGAGATTTCAACACAATACTGCTCTTTACCCTCTACCTCATTTAATTTCTTGAGATTGACCCTCTCCATATGAACTCTGTGTGTTGTTTGTTTGCTCACTGCCAGTCTTTCCCTAACCTTTGCCACCACTAGGTAGTGGTCAGTATCACAATCTGCTGCCCTGAATGATCTGGCATTAAGTATACTTGAGTGCCCTCTCCTGTCTATCAAAATATAGCTTATTTTTTTATTATCCATAATTGTTTTAAGGAGGTTAATCTGATGCGCTGCATATTAATTTCTTGTATATCAGGTTAGAGCTGAATGGCCAAAGACGACGTTTGACATGGGAAGCAACACCAAGATCAATCCATGAAGGAGTCTCATCAGCAATCATGAACTCTGACTGTCTTGTATTTGACACCAGCATTGCCCAACTCTTTGCGGATAACGGAAACCTGGGGATCAATGTGACAATTTCTATGGTCTGATACTGGCATACTTTGGACTTGATGATCACTGCCAGAGTATTAATAGTATCACCTATTGGTACACACTACCCAACATGAATTTTATTTTTTGACATTTTTGCATAATTATGGAACATATGCTCACGGGTTCTCATATCAAGCAGTTATAACATTGCACAGAGAAGAAAAGGTGATCAGTTGGTGATTGACTATAGTTGACCAGTTGTAAATAACCAATGACATAAGAATACAGATATTCATTTTCTAGCAGTATGCTATATAGTGTTATGAACCACTTATAGTTTAGGGAATCATTGTGTCACATGAATATTGAATGATACTTAATTTCTGTTCATATATCTACAGCTAATAACAGTGGTTACAGAGAGCTGAAATATTGAAAGAACTGGATGTACTTTTATTGCATTTAAATCTTTACAGGAAAACATTATTCTGTACCACATTTAAAGTTCAGCACTCTTAAAGCACTAAATAACATTGTTGAGTTTCTTTTTTCAGGTGTAATTACATTTGCTAAATCCATGCATTTGTGGCAGCTTCTCATAAGTATGAAAGTTGTTACTATAGGATTCTGACGATGGTGTATAACACACAGAGATATTGGGTTTTTGGACTTCATCCATCGTCCTGGTTTTAACACTTTGCGAACCGGTTGCATATTTTTATGCCCAGCGCTTTTAAACGTAGCGGACCGGTGGCATATTATTATGGCTTTAGGACACGTTATGTTGAAACACAC